TTCGTATATACCGATTAAGTTAATAATAAATGTTTAGGGAAAGTCGGATAGCCCTAGACACTTAAGTAAAAAAAAGATTGTACACATGCACTAACAGAAAACAAAGTGTCAAAAGACTTTTGTAAAAGTAAAAACATTCATCTATCAAAATAGAAACAAAAATTAATAATTATTGTGTACCTTAATAATATAAAAAACACTAAAAAAATAATATTAGAAAAAAAACATGTTTTAAAATTGGAGGGTAGCCCCGGACAGTTTAACCATGATTTTATCTCTTTTTTTACCAGTGTGACAAAATGTATTATAAAATAATTTAGCATTGGACTGTTTTCCACACATAAAAAAAAAATTGTCTTTAAAAATTACCTGATATACAAGGAATGGGAACGAAAATGTTTTAGATTTTATTTAGAAATTGTTTAGAATAATATCCATTAGAAATTTAATAATGAAAATATACACTGTAAAATCACTTTTTTTAAATCTAAGGTCTTTTTTATTAATTAAATGAATTAGGATAGATTAGAGTAATATGAGCACCTTGGTAAAATGAGGATACTTAAAAGTTTCTTAGACCTAAGCTGTAAAGGTCAGTTTCCACTCGTCCGTTTTTCCAAATGAACGGGAAAGGGGTGGGAAAGTTAATCACGTGAGCATGCGCAGTTTGTGATTTAATTTTTTCTTGGCTTAGTTTTTCCCATCATATTGGTTTTGGGAAAAGTAGATTTCAAATCAACTTTTTCCCGTGAAAAATCAAACAGCAAAACAGCCAATCGCATTGCTACAATTTTTGAAAAATGAAAACAAGAGCTGGAAAAGTTGTTAGAGAATTGGAATTTTTTCGGAAACGATAATTTCGTCATAAACATTTATTAGTGCCTGTAATATATTAAAATTTTTTACGGATATATTTTTAGTGGCATACTATGACGCAAAATGGAAATCATTAAGATATTTATTTAATTACAATTGCAATTTAATGTCAGTTTTACTGCTATTTTAAACTGCATAAATATCCGAATAATGTTAACATTAAACCTAAAGTACACTGTCCAATAAACAATATTGAGTATTAAAAATCTAATTTAATGATGACCGAATTGAACGTAGATTTTTCAAAATGTCACAAAATGTTCCAACAAACAAGAACTTGGAGGCTCATTTAATAGAAAAAGTGAGAAGGTTTCCGTGTTTATGGGACACACCAACTCGCGCATATAAAGAAACGCCTTTAAAAGTTAAAGCGTGGAGGCAGATATCTACTTTATTAAATGTAGACGGTGAGCTATTTATTTTGTCAAGTAAATTTTTTATCAAAAATATGTCTAAATATTAAAGTAACCTATAACACATAATATAACATAATAACCGTAAACTATTTTTATTGTGTTTTTTTTTAACAGAAAAAACTCTGACTTCAGCATGGGCAAAGCTGAGAGAAAATTTTCGTAGATGCCTAAACCGACAAAAAAAGGCTACCATGTCTGGAGCTGGCGGGGATCAACAACCATCATGCCAGTTCTTCACAGAATTATTGTTTTTGAAAGATGTGATTGGGGTAAAATTTACAAGTACAAACATAAAATGCGATATTTTTGGAACACCACTTTCAGTTGAACACAGAGAACTTGAAAATACAGACGATTCGATAAAAGCATCAAGTTCAAAAAGTAATTTGACTTTAACAGAAAACGAAACAACTGTACATTCAATTTCATCCCCACAGACGATTATATCGACGCCAAATCATATGAAAAAAAATGAAAATTGATCCATTACAAGTTGCCCTTGAAAAGGCCATATTGCTTGATGTGGAGCAAAATAAAGTGATAAAAATTATTAATAATGACCCAGATGAGCTATTCTTTAAAAGTTTAGTGAGATCTTTTCAAAATCTTTTAAAAAAGAAAAACAAAATAGCAAAAATAAAGTTTTGGAAATCCTCCTGGAAATGGAAAGTGACAGTGAATAAAAATCTACAATTAAATTTAAATATAAATAAAATATAATTTATATACTAAGATAATAGTTATTTTTCCATTCAATATACATTTAAAAAAAAAAAAAAAAATTCAAAAGGGAATAAAATAACTTAACATATATATTATATACAATAATATATAATATTTTTCTAGAGTATGGCTTCATAAGATATTTCTTGAGAGGAATTGCCTCGTCTCCAATGAAAACATAAGGCAGTTTTATATTTGAACCAGATGGTTCATTGGGTTCTGGGATATGTAATAAACTTGTTTCAAATGCAATTCCCATCTTACTGTTTCCAAATACACCACCATCACTGTTCTTACCAGTATCACCGATGTCTACAAGAGTGAATTCATAGTTTGCATTGCAAACAGCCATCAAAACAATAGAATGCGATTTTTTATAGTTAAAGTAGAAAGAGACTGATCTTGAGGGGGCTTGCATAACTATATGTTTCCCATCTATAGCCTCTATACAATTAGAGAAGTTCCATTTCCTTTCAAACTCATTTGATATAAATTTCCTTTCATTTTCTTGTTTTGGGTAGCTAATATATTCTTTAGATAACAAAATAGTCCATATAGCAATAGAGGTTTTGTTAATAATTCTTCTTACCGAAGTCGGACTTATTCGAAACATACCAGCTAGATCTATTTGCGAAGTGCCTCCAAAAATTTATCTCAAAGTGACCATTAATCGTTCACTCGCTCCAATTGTTTCACGCCTGAGGGAAGATTTTCTTATCACCGGTGCGATCAGACTTAAAAATTGCTATCACTTTTTAAAATTTTACGAGTACAAGTGGAAATGGATATGTCCCATCCGATCTGTCCGAAATCTTGTATTTATCTCATCCCTTTCCCGTTCCCTTGGAAAAACGGACGAGTGGAAACTGACCTTAAAGATAAAGTTGCTTTGTATCTTTTATGTGGTGATAATAAGAATCAATACAATTCGCGCAAATTTATATGCAATAATTAGCGGCAATTATCTAATTAAAATGCTGTTAAAATTTTTGTATTGTTAAAATAATATCATCACGCTTGAATAAACCTGTGGCGCGAAATTTTGATGCTAAAATAATGATATTAAATATTCATAATGAAAAATACGTTAGCTAAAAATCCAACCCATTTTTGCTTGAGAAACAACGCATAGAGACAATTAGTTTTGACTTTATTTAAAGATGTCATTTTTGTGTAATATGAGTATGCTCAAAATGCTCAGTGTTTTTCATTAAAATAATCTAGTTTAAAGTCCTAAAATAGCAGTGGTTTTAACTGCTTTTTTAATATAAAAACAAAACGTTGAAAAAGTTTTTAATATTTTAACAATACTAAATATTTTTTTGTGTTTTAAATTCAAAAAATTTGAATTTTTATCGTTTAAAGTTTTGAGTTAATAAAAAAAAAAAAATAACAAACTAATTTTTTTGTTGTTTTTTTCATGCATTTTATTTCCTAGTTTTGTGCATTTAGAGGAATACTTATTTTAATTTTACTTTTTGCACAAGGTATATGTTTAAATAAAAATGATGACTTCTTCCTATGACGGCATACTGAGGAGTTAGGTGTGGTACAATATTGACGAGTGGAAAAAACTTTTTTTTCATAAAAGCAACATATTTGTTTGTGAAGTAAAATAAATTTTTACAATAGTAAAAAACTTTTTGGTTCAAAGAACACATAAAACGCAATATCTCTTATGCCCATGCGCGAAATTCTACACTGCTGCTGTGCAGCACGAATGGCTTAATTAGGATGAATACGCGTAATTTCTTGCATTTCTGAGAGAAGACTCTTAATTCAAATGAAATTGTCGAGTTACCTCTGATGCTAATCAGCCCCATCCTCCCCTATGCCATTATAGTAGTAGCAGTTGCCTATGGTGGCATACTTGTGTTTTTTTTTTAAATAAAAATAACTAGTAAAAAAATAAAAACTGATGAAAACTCCTGAGGTTATTATTGTTCAACATGTAACAAAGAATGTATCCATATGAAAACTTTTTTTATTTGTCATTAAGATACTGTATAATGAAGCTTCAAAGTTAAGTATGGCATCATAGGCGCCTTTCCCTTATTGTTTCAACAAAAAGTGGCATAAATTTTGATCTTTTAATGATAAGTTTTGTTAACAACACATCATTATATCCCATATAATGGAATATAATGATGCGTTGTTAACAATGTTTGGTCTGGGTAATATGAGCACTTTTGCTAATTTTTGAAAACCTCTGTGTTTTTAAGAAAAATTTTTGGGTGCCCTAATATCGAAATGGATCATGAGTAAGGATCCCTAAAAATTGTTTGTTCGCAAAAATTTTTGGACAATCAAAAATACTTTTGAAAATATTCCAATTTCCGCTTAAGGTGCTCATATTACCCTTATCTACCCTACTATTATAGGTTTGTGTATTATATTAAATCTATTAATATTTATACAAAAATAAGTTGCGTAGTAAATAAGTAGTTGTAAATAAATAGTTGTAAAAAAATAACCTCATTCAAAAATACTAGTTTTAAAACCAGAGAATCAAAGTTTTGAACAGTCATTATTTAATAACTATTATAAAAAAAAATTTTAAATCAATAAAAAGTTATTCGTTTACATAAAAATTGCATATATATTTATGTGAATCAAAAATGATGGTGCATTGTACTTCTGGTGGTGGGACACAAAGTCTTGCACTCCCAGCCAATCTCTATTATGATATTTTAGTAGATGTTTTGTATATGCCATATTTTCACTCAAATATTGTTTTCATAGTTTTAAAATTATTTATTTTATTAGTTTAAGCTGTACATTAGGTGTCCGGAAGTGCCCGATTTCCGGGGCTATGTGATTTTTCCCTGAACAGTATTATTAATTGTTTAAACGCCATTAAACGTCATGAAAAACAAATTTTTAATTAAAATTAGTACCATAATAGCGGGGCTATTAATATTAATTATTTTTTGCTTAAAAGCAATTTAATATAAATAAATTTATATATTTTTTAATTTTATTTAGGTTAATGGTCTTACCACAGAGCACCGCGGATGAGCATTTAATAGGGAGTTCACGTCTTCTTCCTAACCTTCCTAATGTCGCAAAACTTTCCAAGAGGTGGGGTTTGAACCATGGATCTTTTGATTCAAAATATTCATTGATTAAGTTTTTCAATATTTTTATTATACTTCTTTTCTGTTTAATTTTGTAAACAATTTCTTTATGGCAAATTAAAAAATGATAATACAATAAAAACTGCATTAGCCGTCAAAAGTTTGTGTTCGCTTCTTAAGTTTAATAATAAACAAAAAATAATAAAATAAAGATTTTTCTCATCGTAGGTATTTATTTATACTGTTTACAATAAGATGATCATATTTTCAGCAAAATAAGATAATCATATTTTCAGCAAAATAAGATAATCATATTTTCAGCAAAATAAGATAATCATATTTTCAGCAAAATAAGATAATCATATTTTCAGCACAATAAGATAATCATATTTTCAGCAAAATAAGATAATCATATTTTCAGCAAAATAAGATAATCATATTTTCAGCAAAATAAGATAATCATATTTTCAGCAAAATAAGATAATCATATTTTCAGCAAAATAAGAGATTTTGAATACCATGCAGTATATATTTCACTTTAAAAAAAAAAAAAAGATTTATCTAACATCTTTCAATCACTCATTGTTTTCAATAAAATGATCATTCTTTCAAGAAAATGAAAGAATGAGATAACATTACAAAAAATATTTCAGTATATTTCTTAAATTATTTTTAAAAAAGATCACCTACTTTCTTTCCAGAAAAGCATCATCAGACCATGACTGAACTTCCACCATGCATGACTTTTGGGATCAGACACTGTTGTATCACACGTTTACCAAATAAACAGCGAACAATGAATTCCTCAGAAAATGTTGAACTTTGATTGATCAGTGAACAAGACTTGCGACCATTGTCATATTTCCAAATCTTTAAGTTTTTTTGTCCATTTTAATCATTTAACCATATTTAGTTTGAGTTGTAACGGTTTTTTGACTTTAATGACTGCATTTTGAGAAAAATTGGTTTTAAAGCAAATTTTGTGTAGAATAGCCTTTCTTAAAATAATTAATAATAATCTCCCTATTTTTTGTACACTAAGACTACTTTTTTACCCATTTTTCTTTATTACCCATTTTAATCATTTAACCATATTTTGTTTGAGTTGTAACGGTTTTTTGACTTTAATGACTGCATTTTGAGAAAAATTGGTTTTAAAGCAAATTTTGTGTAGAATAGCCTTTCTTAAAATAATTAATAATAATCTCCCTATTTTTTGTACACTAAGACTACTTTTTTACCCATTTTTTTTTATTACCCATTTTAATCATTTAACCATATTTTGTTTGAGTTGTAACGGTTTTTTGACTTTAATGACTGCATTTTGAGAAAAATTGGTTTTAAAGCAAATTTTGTGTAGAATAGCCTTTCTTAAAATAATTAATAATAATCTCCCTATTTTTTGTACACTAAGACTACTTTTTTACCCATTTTTCTTTATTACCCATTTTAATCATTTAACCATATTTTGTTTGAGTTGTAACGGTTTTTTGACTTTAATGACTGCATTTTGAGAAAAATTGGTTTTAAAGCAAATTTTGTGTAGAATAGCCTTTCTTAAAATAATTAATAATAATCTCCCTATTTTTTGTACACTAAGACTACTTTTTTACCCATTTTTCTTTATTACCCATTTTAATCATTTAACCATATTTTGTTTGAGTTGTAACGGTTTTTTGACTTTAATGACTGCATTTTGAGAAAAATTGGTTTTAAAGCAAATTTTGTGTAGAATAGCCTTTCTTAAAATAATTAATAATAATCTCCCTATTTTTTGTACACTAAGACTACTTTTTTACCCATTTTTCTTTATTACCCATTTTAATCATTTAACCATATTTTGTTTGAGTTGTAACGGTTTTTTGACTTTAATGACTGCATTTTGAGAAAAATTGGTTTTAAAGCAAATTTTGTGTAGAATAGCCTTTCTTAAAATAATTAATAATAATCTCCCTATTTTTTGTACACTAAGACTACTTTTTTACCCATTTTTCTTTATTACCCATTTTAATCATTTAACCATATTTTGTTTGAGTTGTAACGGTTTTTTGACTTTAATGACTGCATTTTGAGAAAAATTGGTTTTAAAGCAAATTTTGTGTAGAATAGCCTTTCTTAAAATAATTAATAATAATCTCCCTATTTTTTGTACACTAAGACTACTTTTTTACCCATTTTTTTTTATTACCCATTTTAATCATTTAACCATATTTTGTTTGAGTTGTAACGGTTTTTTGACTTTAATGACTGCATTTTGAGAAAAATTGGTTTTAAAGCAAATTTTGTGTAGAATAGCCTTTCTTAAAATAATTAATAATAATCTCCCTATTTTTTGTACACTAAGACTACTTTTTTACCCATTTTTTTTTACCCATTTTATCAAAACTATTAAAAAATATTTAATCGTAGAGTGCAGGCGGTGAGATCTGTTGCAAGGACACGCCCCTGACGAGAGGCGTTAGTGCAGGTCTCGGGCTCTCCGAAACGTCATTGGTGATCGCAGTGCATTCCTGAGGAGGGGGGTCACCATTTATCCACTATATAATTCTAATTGGTTATTATGACATCAACATTTTTTTACCTCTTACACCCATGTATTTTTGCGCTTTGTGAGCTTTTTATTATGAATTTGTTACATTAACGACATTTATATATTTTTATGTTACACAGGTGATTATCAGTTCTCAATTTTTTATCAAGAAATTAGAACATATTCAGTACCACATTTATTTGACATTTGTATGGTTCGATTATTTTAGTTATGAATACCATTATAAACCAGCGGATTTTTATTGACTTGTTTACTCATAGATCATTGTTTCATCATTTGCTACAAGTTGATTAGAGTGTGAGTTTTTATTCCTCTTTTCCTGAGTTGCTAACTTTTACTCCTTTTACTAAATAGTCTTTACATTAATTTATGTTTTTTTACCTAAATGATATCATCTTCAATCTGTTTTTATTTTCACATCTCTCAGGTCTACGTAACTGGACGGCTCCGTTGGTAACTTTTTGCGATCATTGTGTTGCATAAGCAAAAAAATTTATACTTTGTCGCTGGTGAGCCCCGACTTTTTCCAATGTACACCATAACGACAAAACGGACATTAGGCTATCCCGCTGGATGTGGTTACGGCGCTCTATAACCTAATGACTACGCTGACACTCATGCAAACGTTCAGTCGGAAGCTCCACAATGCACGTCGAATCAGCGCTCGCTGACTATGTGCTCGGATCTGAAAACTTACTTCATGACACATCATTCCACACCAGCACGGGGCAGTAGTATTTTTGGGTAAGAGTGATGGCTTGTGACCTACCGTGACTAATGTGTGCATTCGATCAATTGAAATCCATTCTGTAGGTCTCACGTCTGGCTCTGATGTGCTAGCCCATAAGCGCAAGAAGTGAGTGTGTTTAGCTTTCTATTCACCCGATTTGAAAAGGAACGGAGACATAACGAGACCATACTAGACCACAAACGGTACGTACTAATGCACTACACCATTACACCTGTAGACATCAACAGTCTTCAAAATCAGTATATCAAATATTTGTTTTTTGTTACATATGATTTACACACAGAGTGATTAGAGTTTTAGTTGGTTCTCTCTTTGCCCCCTCCCCCCCCCCCTTCCCCCGAGCATTTAACTTCGTTATTTAATTGTTTTAATGACATTTCTTGTAGTACTTGATAATTTATTTATTTAATTTATAACACATACAATACAGCTAAGTACTAATATTTTAATTTATTTATGTAATATTTCAGTCTGAATAGTTCAGACCGTCATCAGACGTAAAATTAAATACAATAAAAATCTCACAAAAAAACGTATGTAAAAAACCGTTATAGAAGACATTACAAAGATGAGCTGACGTAACGTAAACAACTATTTTGAAATTTCTATGATTTTTTTTAAAAAGAGGTCGCCAGCTATTTAACGGAAGCATGCCAATTACCTTTCATACTGTTTATCTGATGCTCAATACTTCTTTGTATAATTTTCTTTTTTGTTTCTCCAATATAAACGCCACCGCATGAACACGTAAGCTTATTCACACCCGGCTTGCTATTTGACTTTTGTGAAGGTAAATAACTTCGTTATTTACCTTCACAAAAGTCTTATCACTCATTTTATATTTTTTTATGATTTTTATTTTTTATTCAATGACACCATCTTCTAACTGTTTTTATTATCACATCTCTTAGGTCTACGAAACTGGACGCCCCCGTTGGTCACTTTTTGCGATCATTGTGTCCCATTAACAAAAAAATATATATATACTTTTAAATATTTTCAGGTCTCTTCCAAACAAACCTTGGAAAATTAAACGGGACCCTAATATTAATTAAGAAAAAAAAGTTATAATGCTAGAGCTTTAAAATTTTAATTATGAAAATAATAATAAAAATCTCCCTATTTTTTGTACACTAAGACTACTTTTTTACACATTTTTCTTTAATCAAAACATAAAATATATATTTGTCTTCAAATTTTAAAACTAGGACAAAATACTCTAAATTAATTCTCCATTCATAATAATTTATCTATGAACGTTACAATATTGAAAAAAACAATGATTTGATTACCTATTTGTATAAAAAACACTATAAACAACAATAGTGAAAAAAAAGTTAATTAAGTTAGTTGTACAGCAAAATATATCAAGCTGTTACAGCAATATATACCCATTATTACAGTAAAATATATCTACAGTTTTCGTTATTGCAATTATTATAAACTTACACTCTTTATACACAAATAGATGTGTAATCTCTCTATGATCAAAATGTCAAAATAAATACTTCCAAATAATTTGACTCTAGTTTTGACAAGATTGAGCTTCAATTTTTGAAGAAAATTATGTAGAATTAAAAAATAATGCAAGTAAATCCAAACTCTGACCGGTAGTTAAGTCATGAACAAAAGTGTAGCTTATACCTAGTTCTATTCAAAATAATTTTTTGCAATCGTAATTTAATGTAAAACAAGTATCTTA